CCTTTAACTTTCCTCTGGTCCATGTTGGTTGTGGTAAACACTAGGGATGCACGGATACCACTTTTTTCCCCAAACCGACACTTGGATCTGAGTACTCGTTGATACAGATTACCGATAGTTCTACCACACAAAAAAATGTAATGAATTGGAATACAGGTTTTATTTTCTTCTCTGGTTTCAACAGGAAAAGACTGAGGTAGATAAAAATAAAACATATTAATAGAAATGATCACAAAACTAAAATACTAGGTGAACAGAAATGACAAGTTACAGTGAAGCCATTTTCAGGCAACTGCATTGGTATCTGTTAACTTTTAGCGATACCAGTATCGATATCGGTGCATCCCTAGTAAACGCCATATCACCAAAACAACACAGTGACTACCTGGAGCCCTATATATAGACCTACTGACTGATTACAAGACTGTAGACACCTGTGACGCTAATTAGTGGAAACATCTTCCATTAACATGTCCCTTTGGTCGAGATCCATCTTTTTGCCCAGGCCCGTTCCATGAGCTTATTTTTTAAACAATACTGTTGAAGCATGGTTGAAAAGCAACATTTGATTTTTGTTGTTTAAATTTAGTCAGATTCAAGTTATTTCTGTGACCACTGTGGGATTTTTTTTCATTGTCCGAAGGGTACCAACAATTTTATCCATGTCTGTATTTGAGGAATGATGATTTGCTACATAAGTAAAGATGAGCAGTTAAGAATTTGTTTTAGGATAAGTTCAAGAAGAGTTTCCAGCCTATATGTGATTCACATATTACATGAAAAACCTAAAACAGAATAATATAAACTGGTTCTAGAGGCAGTAGAGTGCCGAGTGTTCTTCTATATTTGGTGCCTACTCTGCTTCGGCGAAGGAACTCAGCCCTGAATCTCTCACCAAGGAGCACCAATGCAACAAAAGCTAAACAGAATCAGATGATATTTAAAAAAACAAGACAGAAACTAGAAAAATGCTCAGATCATCACACAGATTACTGCAGTTCATTCACAATAATAATAATAATAATAATAATAATAATAAAAGAAGCTAACAGAAGAAACAGTGCATGATGCTATTTTTACTGGTTTTCTTCTCCTTTTCAGTGCACACTAAATCCCGATCATCCATCTTGTCAACGTATACAAACGGATCCTCGGGAGGACCAATTAGCATCAGCACAACTAAACAAAGTCATAGCACAACACAAAAGCTCCTGCACGAAAAGAAAAACAACATCTTTGCTTCCTCTGCAGTTCAGACACATAATGCAATCCAGAATTATTAACCGACAACCCCACTGCAAGCCAACACCTCTCCTGCTCTGGTTTTGCTCTTTGTGTTAGAAAGCCAGATCTCATTTCTAGCACTCACAAGCTCTGCAAGGCAACACTGCACCAGCGACGGAGCAGCGCTGACACACTCAAGCAAGGCGAGTGAAAATAAGAGGGGTGAATGCAGCAGAAGAACGTTTCACAGCTTTATAAACTGGAGCCACATCAAGTGGAAGATTAAACCAACCAAAAGACTAGATAAAGTCACAAATGTGATTTTTGACAGTGAATCCAAATCCCTGTTTTAACTGGAAACAACCAGGAAAAGACATAAAAGCAGAAGAAATGTGATGGTGGGAACGGAGTAAAGGGGTTGCCAGAAAACAGAGTAACAGCATTTCAAGCTGCGTGTTTTTATGCAATCATTTGAAGCCACCGGCTAGCTGCTCCAAAAGCCCGGTGCTGGAAGCATACTGAAAGAAGAGGGCTGTCCAGGAGAAGCTCAGCTGCATTGCAGAGTAAAAACAGCGAGAGCGTGTCTTCTTTTTAGAGAATATCTTGTTTTTCTTGCACTAATGTCCCTGTCTGCAGGCTAAATTTAACTCTGTTCCTTTCTACTTTGCTTCTGTGATTATTCTTCACACGCTGCAACACTGATGGCCTCGACTCCACAGGGAGGAGTCGAGGTAGAAGTGTGTCATCCAGCTAGTTGAGTCCTGAGAGGGCCGAGTCATCCGACAGTCAAGGGGCTTGGCAACAAAGGATTTAGAAGTAATTTAATTAGGATTTCACTAAGGCTGTGTTAATACAACCGGAATTATGATTGTGAGTTAATGTAACCTTATGCTGTCACAATCACATAAAAACCAGGTGTAATAAAGTATTCATGAAGACCAAGAACTTGTTTTTATCATTAACAGCACAGCTTCTTGCTGGAAATCCTAAATGATCTGAATTTTATACATTTTTTACAAAACTATATCATGAACACACAAATGTTAATACTGTGGATATTCAGGAGTACAGCTGACATGTCATGGTAGACATGAAGTCACTGGATTGATTCAGTCTCACACAAATCTAAAGTCTATTAGCCCGGCTCACTCAGGCACCACTTTCCATTAAAAGAACGGCAACTGAACGTGTCGATTTCATGGCTGAAAAACTTGTTCTGGTGTTTGTCTGAAACATTTTCCAACTCAAACCCAACTAAACTAATATATGGATTCCT